AATTATGCTCTTTCCTTTTTCTCTCCTTTTTAATTTTCTCTCTTCACCCTTTCTCTTCTTTCCCATTCCCTTCACTCTCTGCCCTCTTGCAGAAAATCTAGTAAAAAAGATCTACCCACGTCATAGTTGATCAGAAAACACTGCTGCTCTCCTGTAATCAAGTCTACAGAATGTTCTAGGCACAGTAGTATTTTCCAAGAAAGAGATTTATCACCAGATCTTTATTGCCGATGGACTCTCTTCAACTTCTCCTTCAGTGCCAAGTTGACTGTCCCTTTCCTCTCCCAGGAAGAGTTACTCAAGAGTTCTTTACATGCTCACAAGAGCTTGGCATCTCTATTCATTAACTTAACACAATACTTGAGACATCTGCTTTTTCCCTAGATGTTAGATCGCTCAAAAATAAAAACTCTGGCTTCCTCCAGTCTGTATCCCAGCAACTTGCTGGGTGCCTGGCACCCCAGACAATGACAAATAGATACAGAATATTTCTAAGTCACTGATGAGAGTTGTAAAACTGGAGTCTTAGGAGCAGTTTTGCATACACTGTGAAGTGTAACTCTCTATACTCTACTCCAGAAATAATAGCCAGTGTTGTTATGTCCCATTACCCTACCTCCTTCACATATATCAGCTCATTTGCTCTTCACAAGAGCCCTGTGAGGTGTTACTATCATGATCCACAAATCAGAGCTAAAGGATTGAGATGCAGAGAGAGCCGATACCATTGCCCACAGTTACATAGGTAGTAAGTGATGGGCTCAGCAGTGCGGCTTGAGTTTCTCTTACCTCTTGCACTGTAAAGCCCCTTCAATGGGAAAATTCTCCTACCATTGACTGAAAATGGTTCTTTTATCATTAGACTAGTTCCTGAAATACAGGGTTAATTGCTCAAGCTGTGCTTCTGGTTTTATAGGCTGTGTATGTGGCCCTCTTCGTTTACTTGGTGTTTTGCTAAGTAAATTCAACATTGCTTTTTGATATCACAACAAGAGGAGAAATTTCTCATGTGTATAGAGGGAATTGAAGCTTTTTCCATATTTTCAGTACAGACTGGAGGAAATATTTCTGATAAAGCTATCAACATTTTTAAAAAGTTCCTCTAAGAAAGCATATAGATGTTAGAAGCTTGTGCAGGAAAATTTCTAGAATTCACCAGAACACAAATTTATGTCTTGTAAAGCATTAGATAGTCACAAAATAACTTCTGGAGACCATTATTGTTCTGGATTTAATTTAGTGCTAAAACCCAGAGATAAAGACTGTGCCATATTATACATCAGGGAATAATTCCCTGAGTCCCAGGGGACAAAGCTAAAAGTAAATCAGTTGTTTGTCTGCCTCTATCGTTTCTCCATTTGTTTAGTCTATAACTCCATGTGTCAAAATGAAATATCATGCACCTAACAGGCTTGGTCTGCATTTCAGCACTGCCCTACAGAGCACATAGTAGGGATGCAGTACATAGGGGTTGCATATGGGATGTAACCCATAATTGCATTACTCTGTGAACCCCAACACGACCTATTCTAAAATGGCAATGGCCAGGTTCTGTCAGGGTAGCAGAACTAAGTGAAAGCTCACCATCGTAATATATAGGAAGATTACACATCCATGGTGAAGGCCAACTATAACACACAAAGGAGCTCAACTTAATTTTGCAAGAATTAACCTAGTGATAAAGGAAATGTTGTAGGGATCAACAATTAAGAGTTAGAGTTGGACCTCAGTTTTTGGGTACAAACTTAGTTCTTCTTGTTGGATGGGTGACCTTTAGCAAATCATCTTCCTGAAACCCAATCTCTTCATCTGACTAATGGGATGTTAACAATATCTGTTCCCAAAGCTACTGGGAAGAAAACACATGAAAAAAACACCTAGGACAGTACTACCTGCTGTAAATAAGCATTATCTAATGCTTTTATAATCACTACAGGGGGCAGGAGATTTAGCTTAGTGATGCCACCACCTGCCTCACCAGCAAGGACGTAAATTCAATTCCCGGTACCAAAAATGAGAAAGACAGCACTATAATCACTGCAAGTACAACTACATGCTATTTCACTATTCAACCACATTTCAAAAGAAAAGGCAAGTGCAGATCAAAGAGTACAAAGTCAATACTATGCTGCATTTCATTTCTTTACATTTATAATTAAGAATAAATCTTGATATTCTTTGAATATGTTACTGGGATCTTTTAAAGTATCTTTTTTTGTTTAAGTATCTTTAATCAAAAGTTTCCACTTTTAAAATGTTAGCTGATAGCTTCTTAAGATACCCATAGTGTTACAGAATTTGACTCAACCAGTTAGATATTAACTACTTTCCAGTTCTAAGTTCCTAAAATAAGAGATCTCACATAATGAGTCACAAATATTGCTCTGAATAGTAGATCTAGTTAAAGACAAGGAATTTCTCCTTATGAAACTTCTAGAAAGCAATGCTATATAACCAAGTAATCTGCAGACCATGTGCTACATGTTGTTACCGAGGTCAGTGCAGGCAGAGTAGGTGGAGACACAAAAGAGGCTGCCACGAGCAGCAGCGTCAGGAAAGGTACCACGAGCAAGTGAGAGGAAGCACAACTTGGAAGGGAGCAAGATGGAGATAAGACTTTGAGGAGTGAGACCTCATCCTGCCCATCCAGGAGAACAGCAACTTCAGGCTCCTACAGCTTTTCAAACTAAGCAGGGCCAGGATACCAGGATACTTGAGGCTATCTATTCTTGACTTTTACTTATTGCCAATTTTCATGTACAAAGCCAAGATGGATTTGCCTATGGGAAAAGGGGAAAAAGCAATATATAGAGAATCTACTTTGGCTAACAGCATTCAATCCTTAGTCTGTGGCCCAGATAATAAAATGTGGGTGCTCAAATCCCTGGCTGTGGGCCAGAGAAAATTTTCTGGAAAGCTCAGGTTGACCATAGACTTGCTGATGCATAGAAGGTGTGGAAATGCTTTGCCTCTCTTGAATGGTCTTCGGTCTATGCCAACTGGAAAAGGGGACAAGATAATACAATTTTCCCACTATTCAAGATAAACTTTTGTTTGAAGGTCCAGTATAACTTAGGATCTACACTGCCATGCACTTGTAATACCTGCAAATATAGTTGCATTACATGGTAGGACTCATTCCACCTGGCACATTTTAGAACCTAGCACTCTAAGGTTTACCATGAACACATTGGTCACATAAAGACATAGAAATTGAATGTTTGATTAAAAAGATAAAATAATAAAAACTAAGGGACATTATCTGATACTTTAGATTTTTGAAGTAGCTAACCGTACTCTTCTCTTATTCTTTTATAATCTTGAGTTATTAAGGGAAAGGTGAGTCTCGAATATTGTCCTCCTTCAATTGTGGTATCAAAAGAAGTTGGCATTTTGATCTCCTGGCTGCTTTAAGCTGTTAAGAAGGCTTCCTACCTGTCTTGTGACTCAGCTTCAAAAGTGAGTGACTAAATCCCTCTGAAGCTGATTTCTCTTTTCCTGTCTCAGCAGCTATATCCTTTACTATAGTTAGTTTCGAACAGGCAGCCTTAGCTCACCAGCCGGCCTTGTTCAGGGCCACGGAGTGAGTCCTGGGAAATGCCACTCCTGGAGTGTCGCGAGCCGGCGACGCAGAGCACTGTCCAGCAGTGTCTCAAACCTGAAAGAGCAGCGGGGTGGAGATGGGGCAGAGAGAAAAGAAGGACGCCAAGACAAGAGTCTGATCAAGGCGGCGTTTATTGGCGGCAAGCACCGGCCTTTTAAAGCAAAAAAAACCCACAAACTATTATGGGATGGGTTTACCATAGTAACTGAAAGGTCACACAGGAAAAGAGCAAACAGGTTCACCAAAACAACCCACCGTGAGTAGTAGTAACCCGGACAACCACACACCTAAAGGTCAGAGACAAGAAACTGTAACTTTTAGGAATTCCACAAAGGAAACACTCTACCTGCTAAACTGGAGAAACTTAACACATATGGAGTTACTAGAGTTAACAATACTTACAACCAATACTCATGATCCCCACACTGGAGCAGTGTTCCAAGGTGGAATCTAACACAAGCTCCCCTTCAGTCATGGCCTCTCCCACTTCCTCACAGGAGTGGAAGCAGTTGAGGACACGATTCAGATAAACTTGGATATAAAACCAAAGAGCTGAGAAATTCAGATCCTCACATAAAATTATTACTGTGATGACGAAAAGAATTGCTTTCCTGAGGGTAGGGGACAACGTGAAGAAAACACACAGTAAAAGGAGAAATCTTAGTACTGTGAGGAGAAAGGGAAGTTGAGCTGGCCAGACGGGAAAATATGGATGTACATAAACGGCCCACTGTTGCCATAGTTCTGTTTTCAGCCTCAGTGTGGAGGAGCAGGGAAACATCTCAGCACGCTCCCTGCTCTTCGTTGCCTGCCTGGCTCACAGTCTTTTTGCTGCCTGAACTATGGCTTGACTCTGACCCACTCTCCCAGTCCTTTCACACGTGATTCCCCACTCCAGGCACCCTTGGGTGTCAGCCAACTAATCCTCTCGTTCTTCCCACATGGTGGTCTGGAGATTTCTGAGCACACTTGGCAAGAGAGAGAGAGAGAGAGCCTGTAAGGCCTCCTCAAAGAAAAGGTTTGCCTCAATAATATGGGCAGAAAGAAGGGAATGGAATTAATATGAGTAAAATAAAAAATGGAAACAAAGTCTTTGTAGATAGGGAGGGGTGGAGGGGTTGAAGGGAGGGCAGGGGAGTGGGGGAAAATAAGAACCAAGACGGATTATGTAAAGGTGAAAATTTTTAATGATAAATGTCATTATATTATATACTTTAAATGTACCAATAAAATTAATTAAAAAATAATAATAATAGCAGAAGCCAAGTACAGAGAATTTTCCTTGGAGAGACACATCTGCTCCTCTCTCTCTCTCTCTCTCTCTCTCTCTCTTCTTTCATTATTCCCTTCCTTCCCCTTCCTTCCCTTCTTCCCTTCCTCCCTCCCTTCCTTTTTTATTTTTATCTTTTCCAATACTGGAGTTTGAAACAGGGCTATTGCACAGAGCTATAGCCCTAGCCCCTTTTTATTTAACTTTTTATTTTAAGACAGTGTCTCCCTAAGTTACTAATATTCCCAGGCTGAGCTTGAACTTCCAACCCTCCTGTCTCAGCCTCCCAGCATGCAGGGATTACAGTGTGTGTATATCATGCCAAGGTTATACTTTATTTGTTATGTTTCATGAATTCTCATTCCCAAAGACACCATCTTCGTATATATTCCTCACTCTTCTGTATCCAGAATAGTCATTCTTACTGCTGTCATGGTATCAACTGAGGAAAAAGTGCAGAGGGGTTGTGGCCTGTGAGAAAGAAAAGAATCTAAGGTCAGGCTTGTATGATTCAGTTAAAGAGGTGAGAAAGAGTAGAAAAGAGGTATGAGTCTTATGTGAGAAAATTCTCTTAAAAATAACACTTTTGAAAAATAAAAATAAAAAAAGGACAGCAAGGAAAAAATTAAGAAAATGGAAGAATTAAAGAGAAAAGTTGCAGAATACAAAAGGTGAATGCGGAAAGGGAGGATTTTAGCTAGTTGAAATATACTTAAATCCTTTCGTGCTGAAGTATTTTGGATTATGAAGCGTTTAGTAAAATACTGCTTCTACCTCTCAGGACCCACATTCTACGGGATAAAAACATGTCAGAAACTATAATCTAGGACGAAATGAAGAACCACAAAAGTAATATCCAAAAGGTGGATCTAGAAAACAGGGCAGAAAGATGAACTTTATCATCTGGGACTGTCTTACTAGAAGCTATAATCTGACCCTGGCTGATGGAAAGTTAGGGCTGTAATATGTGAAGATGAAGTGGAAAATGGCAGAAAGAGCTTTCCAGGTGGGTAACACATCGCGAGAGAGGGACAGGAGATGCGGCATGGTCGAGCAACTGCCCTGTGTGTCTCACTTATCTATTCACTTCACTAAGGTGCATCAGAGGCTGCACTAAGCAGAGGAGAAAGAAAATGAATCTAGCTTGCTCTCTGCACCGGGTTTGTCCACCATTCTTTTTTTTTTTTTCCCCTCTCATTGAGTTTATTGGTACTTTTTAGGCATATGGTACAGTTACATTCATCACTGGGATGTTGTACCTTTACATGACGGGTCTTGGTTCTCATTTTTCCCCATACCCCTGCGCTCCCTTCACCCCCTCCACCCTTCCCTAATTACATACACTTTGTTTCCATATTTTCATTTTCTCCTATTTTTTTCTTTTCCCTTATTTCCTTTCCTCTACCCTTCCCACTTGTCCACCGTTCTTAAAATCAGGGTGTGTGGAGACAGGTGGGCATAAACCCCACAGGATCATTTAACACCAAAAAAGAAAAAATCCTGAGCTGTGTTCTATACTTTCTTGCAGAGATGTTTCATTCTCTGAAATGAGGAATGGCATTAACAAACATGCATCCTGAGAAAGTAACTAAGGAAAAGATATAAAGGCTGAAAGATCATGAAAAACTTCTATGGTCCTATTTAGGGAACAGGAAAAAGACCAGTGTTATGAATTTCATAGAACTCAAATAGCCAGAAACCATGGAAAATTAATTTTAATTAAATTAATTCATAATTAATCGTAATACGTCTTATAATACCAGGCTATTCTATCATTAGTTTTCCTCTTCTTGGAGACACAGCAAACGGATTGGCCCTCCCCACATTGTGTCATTGCTCTGTGTCATTTTAATACCCAGTGGCACATACCCGTGGGGATGAGAAACAAGCCCTGCCTTCATGTACCAGTTAACACACCATCAACTCCACGCTGAGGCTGGATTTCAAGATGGTCAAGTCATGGCCAGTGAGCAAGAGAAACTGAGCAGGCACTGGAACTTACCAATGCGTCTACTAGCTCAGGACAGTGAGACTAGAGGGGATTTGGGAAATTTTAGGGGGATGGCTCACTAAACTCATGTCAGGTCCCAAAACGGCCTTCTAGTATCCTTGGAACACATCGTCCTTTTCTCTGTACCTCTGGCTAGAATTGCTGATTTAAATATTTTTAGCTTTAACGTAAGATCTACCCTCTTAGCAAATTTTGAAGTATATTATACAATATTATTAAATACAGGTTCTTTTCTACGTGTATAGTAGAGCTCTAGAACTTATTTATCTTATGTAACTGAAACTCTGTGCCCTTTGACTAATTCTTGCCCTTTTCCCCTTCCCTTCAGCCCCTGACAACCATCATAAGAGGGTGCATGTCACATTAGATATTTTATATCACTAAAACTAATGATAATATTCAAGTTTAAAATGGAGGGCACTTTCGGAGGACATAGGTAAGTTTATGGCATAGACTGTGGTCAGAGTTTCACAGATGCACATCTACCTCCAAGCTCCAGTTGTACATTTTAAACCTGTACAGCATTTTGCATGTCAATCACACCTCAAAAACATAGCTTAGGAAAAGGTAAATTATAAATAGCAGTAGACTTACAGCCTAGCTGTTTCATCCTAACTCTGTGTCTAGTGAGGATGAGTGCACTTTCGTTTTTCATATTACAATAATCATGTTTTCATTTTATGTCATTACTGAGCATTCACCTTGGTCTTTACTTCTGAGATAATGAAGCCAGGAGTTATTTTTGTTCTTCATTGTCACTATTTAAAAACTTTAGCATTAGCTTTTCTATTTCCTCCCCAAATCCTGATATTTGTAGCCTATCCACCCTCTCTTTGAACATATATGTTTTCCTTAGGTGGCCCATTTGATTAGAGCCAGGAAATTACTGCTTTAATCTTGGGTCAGACACAAATTGGTAGAGGGAGAAGGCAAGTTATTTAAACACACTATGATATAATTTTTCTAGCAATAAAGTAAGGAATAGCTCTTGACTCACAAGGGTGCTGTGAAGATTATGTAGAAAATGCTTAGGAAATGCAGCACATTTGAAGAAATAATAATAGTAATAACAACAATAATAATCATAAATAATCATAGTGCACTAATAATAGAGGAAATTAAATTTCATGCTCCTTCTTCCAAGAGTAAACACACCCAATATCTGCCCACCAGTCTGCTTCATCTAAGAATAATAAAAATTTCTTCCTCCTTTTATGCCATCAGAAAAAAAAAAGATCTTTGATTAGCACTTAATAAGTGCTTGTTGTTGTAAACACTGGAGATATTACAGCTCTTAAGTTTATTAGGAAATGATTGGATAATGATAAGTTCTATATAATCATGATCCTTGCTTTTGCTATAAAATGAGTTATCTTATATGTTAGGAAGTAAAAGTATTAACTTTGAGCTTTTTCAAATATATTTCCTTTACTTGAAAACCACTGCAAAAGAAATCCTCATTTTGTTCATACCAATTATAGGAGGAAAAAAATCTTTATCTTTGCCATCTCCTATATCTAGCTCCAAAAGAAAAGGATGCAGGAGGGAAAAGAGCGGGAGTGACAGGTTGAGTGCCAGGCTTGTTCTGGGTGCTTTATACCCAGAATCTTTCATATGTCTCTCATGTCTTCCCTCACAAGGTGCTGGATCTTGCAGTGATTTCCTCGGCTGAGTCCCATGGTGGATCGATTACAGCATGTGATTCTTTCTTGTACTGTAATATAAAACCTTTATGATTTTTCTCACTGAATCTAGTGGAGGAAGGATTTCAGCATGTAAAGTGACAATAGATGCACATTCCCCAGTGGGCTCTGGGCTGCAACTTCCTAGAATCCAGGCCACAGGCAAGGTATAAAAGCTGGCATTTTACCTGCTTTGCTCTGCAACACTTCCAGGGCCTCCATCCCTTGGTCCACCTCTCTTCACCTGTGGATTCGGCAGGAGTTCTACACTGCTGGACCAGAACTTCACTCTGTTGTTAATTCCAGGATAGAACAGAGTCCATATTTTGACTATCATAAGCCATGTGGAAAGGGTTGAATATCTCAAGCATCCAAATCAGAAACTATTTTCACCTCTAATGCAGTTTCAATGCATAGGATCTAGTGGTCTCACTACAGGAGGCCTATGAGTAAAACTGTTTTCCTTCAATATCGTTTCCAGTAATCATTGTATAAATTACTAGTTTGATATTCAGTGACCATTAACTTAGGGGAGATACAAGAAATGGATAAGAACATTCTCTTGTCATTGTTCTAAGACTGACCACTGCATTATTTCCACTGACCAGAGTCTGTCAAGGATCACGAGGAATTTCTTCATTCTTGCATCCTTTAAAAATTATTTAGTTATGCTGGGCATGGTGACACATGCCTGTAATCCCAGCACTTGGGAGGCTGAGGCAGGAGGATCACTGTGAGCTCGAGACCAGCCTGGGCTACATAGTGAGTTACAGGTCAGTCTCAACTACATAGTGAGACCCTGTCTCAAAACAACAACAACAACAACAAAAAAGAATTTAATTAATATTTTCTATAGGTTAGACACTGATCTAGCACCTTGGATAATGCCATTAATAATGAGATAATAAGTTCCTGGCTTTGTGGAATGTCCCTACTAACAGAAAAAGATAGAAAGAAGAAAACAAATAGCCAAGATAATTTCAGATGCTCATAAGTGTTGTAAAAATTATGTATATATGAAGTAAGTGGAATAACCAAAGAAGGCTAATTTCGGTAACTCTGATCTGTGGTGTTAATATTTCAGAAGGAACAGGCAAAGCAAAAAAACCCAAGGAAGAAATTTCCAGGGAGAAAGTACTATGAATGCCAAGGCCCTGAGAAAAGAACAAGCTTGCTTAAAACACAAAGTAAAAAATGAGCAACATACAAATAATGTCTGAAAGGCAGGTAGAAAACAGATCAAGAGGGCCTTGTAAACCTTAATAAGGTGTACGACTTTTACATGAAGAGTGAACTGTAAAATAACTGGAGAGTTTTTAAGCAAAGATGCTTAACATAATTTACAGTTGAAGAAGTCACTGTAGTTACTCTATGCAAAGTGGTCTGCAGTGCCACAAGAGTGAAGGAAAATAGAAAAGCTGAGGAGAGTCCTGCAGGTCTCAGGGACAGCGTGGCATACGCTGGTGGCAGTCAAGACGGACTGTAACGAGATATGACAGGACAGAGGTGATGGGACCTGCTAGTAGGTTAGATGGTGAGAGTTAGAGGAAAGAAAGAATCGGAGCTTACTGATAAGTAACTTCCTGTTGTATCCATTCTAGATCTACAAGACAATGTCTTATTCACTGTTTTCTAATAATGAAGCAAAAGAATCAGTAAATAAATAAAGGAATGAGGAAATGTACTTTCTTACCTTTTCAGGGTTTCTTTCCTCTCTTAGTCAATTGCACTGACAAACAATAAAAAAGTCAAGTTATTTTCCTCCTGTGGAGGCATAAGATCAGTCATAAACTTGCTCATCTGGGAAATCTCAAGTGTGGATTGTTCTCTGCTCTGTTTGTGTCTTCAGTGCTGTTTATGCTCTTGTTTGGAGGTAAAGGCAACACAGAAGCAGCAGCAGTCACTGTTGTACTGAAACAGTGTATGTAAAGCATGTAGCACATGCCAGGCTCCTAACCAGTACTTAAGAAGTAGGAAGTATTATTATTCAAGAAATAATTATTGCTAGCTCCAAAGGATTCACAGTACTGTTGTGATTTTCATATTTCAAAGGACTTGATACTTTTTCCTAGAACTTTCTACTGAATAGAAATTTTTTTGCATGATTAATATGATTCAAAAGGTAAACAAGATAGTATGGCCGGGCTCGATAATACTAGAGGACTGGACACAGAATGAGACTGTGACTCACCGTGCCACCTGTCAATGGTACTCACCACTTGTCAGACATTCTGCTCTGTGACAAAGACAGAAAAGGATTGAGACGCTCATGGTCTAGGAAGAGAAACATAATTAAATAAGTACAAGACAAAATGACACTAACTTTACCTACCAGCGTGCAATTCAAAAAAGTGGTGTGATCAATTATGTCTCGTGGTGAGGAGGAGGAGGGGTAGGGATGAGGAAGGCCTGCAGGAAGAAAGGGAAATTTGAGAAAGACTTTGAAATATGAACATCAGTTAAGAAAGTCCGGCCAGCAAGAATAGCGTGTGTCATCAGTTTGAGAATCACTTAGGCCAATATATTCATGAACTAATAATCATATCAGTACCTTATTGACAAAATAAAATTTCATTTCAATGCAGCAATGTACATAAGAGTACTGATACTAATGCATGAGGATTTGGTGAAATGATTTTCAACAGAATCCTCATTGTAGTAGATTTTAAGAGCTATTACAGGAAAAGAAATTTTCTGGTGAAAGGAGATATTTGGTAAAGGTAAATATCAGATTTAACACAATTAAAGAGTCCTTGTAAGTATAGTATCATCTAGTATTGTTAACATGCTGATTGGTTGTGTGAATTACTAAGAAGAGAGCAGATGCAGTATTTCCAAATATATTGGGTCCTAAAAATCTTTTTTCCACTGATCTTTCAGGAATAATTCTTGAAGAACAGATTATTAAAATGCATTGCAGCCAAACAAGTTTCTCATTTTTGATTTAAATGAATTTCACTTATAGTCTCTTTGAGCCTCAATACAATTATCGGAACGAAAAAGAAAAGATGTCCGTGTTCTTCCACTTTTCCCACATAAAAACCACTGCCATCATTTACTCTGTGACTAAGAAAGAGGCAGGGGCACTTCTCCTCACATGGGCAGCCTAGCTCCAAGTACATTAGTTTGCTAGCGCTTCCACAACAAAGCACCAAAAGCCGAGTGGCTTGAAGAACACCCCTTGTTTTTCACAGTCTGGAGGCCAGAATTTTGAGGCCAAGGAGTCAGTAGCATTGGGATCTTCTATGGCCTCTCTCTTTGGCTGCCTTCTCCTTCTGTCTTTGCATGGTTCCTTTCTGTGTACGTCTGTGTCCTCCTCTCTTCCTGCAAAGACACCGGTCACACTGGGTGAGAAGCCACCTCACTGTCTCCTTTAAGCTCAGTCACTGCCTTAAAGATTTGATCTCCAAATACAGTCACATTGAGAGGCCTGGGGCTGGGGAGTTAGGACGACAATATGGATGGAAGGGGCACAGCTCAGCCCATCGTTCTCTGCCTCTCCGCTTTGCAGAACTTCAAACTCAAGATTTCCGGTTATTCAATGGAGACAGTACACAGTCTACATAATTAATGTTCTTAGTGCAGATGATGCAACATCCCCTTTAGCATTTGCCACTGCCAACTTTGCTATCATTTCAGGTAGTGATTCCACTTTGCATAAACATTTCCCACGAGTAATCAGTTGTTCGCACAGTAGATTGTAATTTTGTAAGGACAAGAACTGTGCCCCTCTTATTCACCTTTGTATCTCTGTTTTCAGCATAGGACAAAATGAAGCTCAGAGGTGGTTAAACAAAATGGATACGTTTTGTTTTTGTTTTACCAATATCTTCTCTTCTACAGGTGATTAGTGTTGATCAGCTTTGAGTAACCACACGTGGGCAATTATGAAACTAGTAAGTAGGAATACCTGCAAAAATAAAATTAAACAAAGCAGAAATGAAAACCATCATTTTTAGCTTTGGCGGGGGCAAAGAATAGAGACTGAATAAATTCATTTTCTTTACATTTTTCCACTGTTATTGGCAACATTATGATTCAAATCTTCTGATGCCTTTTTGAACATTCAAGTTTATCTGACTTTAGGTTTGGAATGCTCGCTAATGCTTTGATGCACTATGTCACAGTTCTCACTGGAAGGACTTATATTAAGTGGACAGCTAGGGTGTCACAGGCAGGATATTTGTGCTATACATTAATTTAGAGAGCAAAGGGTTTCTGTGTAACTACACCAGGCCGAACGGCTATTTCCACTTTACCTGAATATAGTATTTTCATGTTTTATCACACTAGTTTGCAATTGCAAAAGCTCTTCACCCAGTTTTTAAGAGTAGCTATGAACTGTCAGGATAAGTTACTTGAAATGAAGCCTGACAGCTTCAGGCTTGAAAATAAAATGCATTTTATTGTTTAAAAGCATTTCTCTGCCACATCACTTTCACCTCCCCGCAAACCCTGCTGCCCCTCATAATTACCCCTCACCTACCTTGAAACAAGACATTCTGAATGTTTAATCCTCGTTTGATAACACTGCAAGAAGGAAAATCCTAGAGGTGGGGTTTACTTTTCTTATTCCAGAAATGAATCATGAGAATGAGGATAGTTAGCCTTGTGGGTAGAAGAGGAACAGGTGCACAGGAGAAGATATGAGTGCTACAGAGTTGGAATGTAAACATTCTGTCCTGTTACTACCCTGAGGATTATTACTTCAACACTGCTTGCAGCCTGCACTGAATGTATTGCACCTTAGTGATGGAGCCTCCTTAAAGCCTCCAACCCGATGGCTCATTTGAAGGGAGATGATAAAGTCATTCTCCTAACAACAGAATTCTCTGGCCTCTGAACCAATCTCTATCTGGTCCCAAATATGGGTGTTTCTGACTATTGATAGAATATTATTTACCAGAAAAAAATTTTTCTAGAATCTCTAAAATTACCTTGAAGTTTGTATGAATCAACTTGCTCTCCTTTACATGTACTTAACACTCATTTTCTAGAGAACACCAGAAAAGAGCGGGGGGTCTTTTATGATGGTCAATGAGCTCTCTTCTCCTATCCAGACATTCATGGCCATCTTCTTCCCAGTGTCACTGTGATTCATAAGTGCAGGATTCTATTCCAACATACATTACTGAAAGAAAAGACTGCAAAAAGTTATCTCACAGATGAAAATCTTTTCTCGTTAATGATATTCTATAATGGAAGCCTAATCTGCCTAGTATATTATCATCTGGCAAACTAGTTACACATTTAATAAGGTTTGCTGTATCAATTATAAATGAAATAAACAGTTCTGTCACCATGGTGTGCAATGAATACACCACATGTTATATGTAAATATATTAGTCATTTTCCTTTTGTTTATGTGTCACTGAAATCCATTTTCTTTATGGTGCATTTTCTGTTCCCTATGGGTTCCAACCAAAGTCATTTCAACCATACACATATCGGCCTTTAAAGTGAAATTATGCTGTTATTGTCCTTTTCCTGCCCAGTTTTAATAACACCTGTTTTTGTGCCAGTTTCATTTACTGTTGCAAATTGCAATTCAACAGAGAATGACAACAAAAACTACAAAGAAAACCAAACCACCCAAACAGCAAATATGACTCCAGAAAAGAGCTGTGTGATATATGGGCACGATACAGAAAACATATTGAAACAATTTTTATTCTCATTATTTTCCTCCCAAATTAAATAGGCCCCATAAAGCAAGTTTACATATTCTGCATGTCTCTCTCCATTTTCAACTAAACCCGAACCCTTGGCTTTTTATGAGATAAATTTTTAAAAAACAGAATCAACCATTCAGGCTTTCAAGTGGTAGCATTTTTTATTTTTAAAAGGGAAGCATAAACACATGAAGGATGCAAATGTGGACTCTTTCAATGGCTTACCACAGTGTGACAGCTGTGGATGGGATCAGGACAAAAGCAGGTAACTGCTCCAAGAAAATGATGGCTTAGGCATTGCCAGCCCAATCAATAATCTGGCATGTTGAAGTCAATCACTGCATGGCCGTATTCACTGCAAGCCAGTCAAAGATCATTAGTTTGCCACCCAGAGGTTATTCTTTCTGTTATGAATGGCAGAGAGAGAGAGAGAGAGAGAGAGCGAGCCTGTATGTTTCTCACCAGAACCAAACGTAATGAGCCTAACAATTTATAACTTTGGAGATACTGACATAGATTTTCAGAGGGATTCCACATTTGTTAGGACTGATACCATATAATAGTCTCCAGGTTGAGTAATTCTTCTGAAATTGTCATTGATTTCACATTACGTTCATTCAGAACTACAGGTGTTGAAGCCCCTACTGTGTTTCAGGCTGTGTCTTAAGATCTGGGTAATATAAAGAGGAATAAGATGTACTTCTTATCATTACAGAGGGGTGAGTCTAGAAGATTCTTCAAAAGTTGTAATGCTCTAAATTTCTCCCCAAGCATTACATGACCATCCTTCTAAACACCACCATCACCCCCGATGTGCTTGACAAATTTCCCACATAAATCTGGACAGATTTTACTGGGACCAAGAGAATCAAGGCATAGATAATCATGATTTCAGATAATTTATGATTAATAGTCTGTGATATGGCCAGGGAGATGAATATACATGAGTTTTAGAAAGCATCTACAAGCTTTATAAACTGCTATAAGGGCAACAGAATAAACCAGGGAGAGTTATGTCTGACTGACTTTGTGGTTCCATCTCTGCAGCCCACAGCTTGTAGAAGGCATTCGGTGGCTGACCATGAATGACACTCACATACTGGCACGGATAGGAAGCAGTTTGCGGTGGGGAGAGATCCACAGGAGTATATGGATTTGGGCTTTTTCTACCTGATATTTCACTGGTCATGTTTTACTGTTTCTCCTGGATGGTGTGCCATAGAGTACAATAAATCTCAGTTTGTTTATATTCTGGGTCCGTATTTGCACTTTGGTGATTATATTTGAATTCATGCTAGATCCTTTTTTTCAAGAACTTGAGCATAATCTTCTCATTAATCCTGTCCTGTTTGTCTGTTATTAATAGGCCACTGTACAATGTATTCTGCTGCAAAACTCCACCAGGCATGACTAATTCAGATAATTAATTTGCTAGAACATTAACACCATCAAATGAGCTTGCTAAACCGGTAAATTTAAAGTAAATTAAACTTAATTTGCAGGTTATTGCAATTAAGTCTGCCTTGTCTTTCTGAGGGATTTCAACATCCTCAGTATTTAAGAGGCAATCATAATGCATGCAAGAGGGCGGGCTTTTTGGCTAATTAACACAAGAGTCTAATCTGCTTTTCAATTAGGGTGAATGTTTATAATGTGCTGGTGACAGTGTTGCGATCCGTGCAGCATAACAGGAGTGCATGGCATAATTATAGCTGAAAAGAAAAGCTCATGCAGGGCCTTTTTAGGGGTTAATGAGACATTGGCAGCTTCCAGCTGAGGAGATCGAGCCAGTTTAGTGTAGCTTCAAGAGGAAACCACCCATAGGGGTTTCCTTTGAAGTGTCAAAAGGTCCCCTTGTTCTGGGTGGCTTATGTTTCATTTGTCTGAGTGGCATATCAAAAATTGATGAGCTGCCAGCAGCAGTCCCTATGACATTAATTCACCAATTGTGTTTCTAATAGTTTCATCCTTAAATAAATTTGGCTGATGAGAATGGTAAGGAGAGTCAGAGTCCTGAAAACAATGACAGGGGCCACTCCAGTGCAGGGTTTTTATGCAGCACAAACAAATGTAGCGGCGGTAAATGTTAAAGGCAAGCCCCACCTACTGCACCCCAGGTTATTAGCTGGGGGAAGACAAAGATGTATTGTGCCTGTGCCTTCTGCTGAGCACCAGTGGCTCAGAACAGCAATAAAGATGTGGCCTGCACTGGCACTTGGTTTAAAGTCTTAATTGTACAGGACAAGGATCCTAGGCTGAAGCCTCAGAAGATGGAACTCTACGAAGCTAGGACTAAAGTCCACTTGGAAACTCTCTTAATTAAGCACCTGTGTGCCAGGGCTGAGACTGGGAAGAAGCATAAGTTAGTGCCTCCATTTAGAATAAGGATATGAATAGTGTCTCCTTCATGTACAGTAAATGCTAAATAAAGCAAGGTAGTTGAGGCCCAGTGTGAAGTTGAGTTGGTACAGTACACTGTAAATGATCTTTTCTGGTACTTTTATGATCTAGTTCACATAAAGAGATGCAAAATCGTGGTACTTTTCTGTGGTTATATGAGGAAAATGATTATTTACAAATAGGTAGCTGTTTCTTAAATGAAGATCATACATGACATCCCCCAAAATTATCTAGGTTGGAATAACAAAAGTCATACTCTCAAAATATTTAGATGGGCAAATGGAAAGTAAAGACATCAAAAACCTGCACAAAAGTAAAAATTTTTATGGCTTTAGTGTGACATATTTTGAGAATACCAAATTATATCTTGCGACTATAAGCACATTACAAATATAATCTTTTGTGTAGCATGCATGTGAAATTCACTAGGTAAGTCACTCCTGTATACAAATACCACCATTGTACAGATATGAATAAGGTAGTCAAATAAATTATTCCAGTTACTTGTGGAAAGACTAGTCTAATTATCCAAATTAACTGCAAAGTCTCCTAAATTACTGGTGTTATACAGCCAGACATATACAAAGAAAATAAGACATATTACAACAGATGTTGACAAATAAATTCATTTATTCATTCATTTATGTGGGTACTCTTTGAGCATATATTACATGCCAGACACTGTGCACTGGGACTAAGGTAGTGAACAAAAGATAGGTAAAATAACTCTATTTTCGTGAGGCTTACAAAACACAGAAAACCATCCATTTGTAGTAAATATGATGGTGAATGATGAATGTAATGATCAATAAAACAGCAATGTAACAGACTAACTCAAGGATGACATTACACTGGGTGTTAGGGAAAGCCTTTCCAAGGAAATGACATTTAAAGTAAGAAAGGGATGCTTTAAGGAATTTTTTTCTTTTATAATCCTTCAGCACAGCTGCAATGAAGACAACACTCACAGACTACAGGGAGGAAAATGAGCACACAGAGGGCAACATTTAAGAAGGTACTCACAAAGGTGTGAGAGTCTGTGCTTGTCACTTTCCCATTTCTGATACAAAATACCCAACATCCACAACATAAAAAAGAAAATTTTATTTTAGAACATTATTGTAATAATTAATCATTGAAAGATTATTTCAGTCCATGCATGTTGAACTGACTCCAAGGCAGAGAGAGGTAGAGAGGCGCGATGGAAGGGTATAGCGAAGTAAAGTTTTTCACATCCTGGTAGCAAGAGCCAGGAAGGAGCAGGGGGTGGGGGGCAAAGACAGAGACAGACAGAGACAGAAAGCCAAGGACAAGAATATTACTTTCAAGGTCATAGTGCCAGTGACCTACACCCTCCAACACAAGATGTTTTGGGGACATTTAGATATAAACCATAACATTCCACCACCGATCCCCAAAGACCCCTGTCCATTCCACTATACAAAATACATTTGGGCTATCTCTGAGAGTTATCAGAGCCTTAACAATTCCATCATTGCTGAATAAAGGTCCAGTGTTTCCTCCAAGACTGAAGGCAAACTCTTAGCTGTGAGCTCCTGTGAAAATGAAAAAGAAAGTTAATTGCTTTCAACATATAATGGTACAGGATAAAAATTCTCATTCAAGAAGTAATAAGGTTAGAAGGAATGGGACAAAGGCAAGGCCAAAAACAAGCAGGGCAAAGATTACATCCTAGAACTCTGTGTCAAGCACCTAGGACAGCTTGAGGCAAGGTGTGAACTCCAAAGGGCTTGAGTGACCCTGCTTTTGTGGCATTGGCAAGGTTGCGCTTGGGCTGCTTCTACACTGCCTGTGGCTTTTTTCAACAGATATACCATGTTCTTGGCACCTCCAACTTCCTCGGATCTACACTGCACTTAAACTTTTACTTTCTCAGCTTCATTAATTGTCCTCTCAAGGGAAAATGGCTAGCCTTTCTAGGCTTCCTTTGAAATCTGAGTAGATGCCTCCATGACCCTATAGCTCTTACATTCTGCATACCTGTAAAACCAGCACAACATAGATGATGTAAGGCCTATCACTACCTAGCATTAGGTAGACCCTTTTGGACCATGGCTGCAGTGATCTCTAAGTGTCTGGAAGGTTGCATGTTGAAATGAATCCTAGGGAACCAATTCCCTAGGCAGCCTAACTTAGGCAGCTACTAAGTACTACTTAGGTACTACTACTCTAGTACCCTCTTCTCAAATTAAACTTTTATATGTTTGAGCCTGCGATGGATGGGGTCTTGCTGATTCCTGAGATAACTTCAAACATCTTTCCCATTGTCTGGATGCAAATTCCTTGGCTTCTTTCTAGTGCTAATCTTTTCAGTAGCCACAATCTTTGTGATCCCAAATTTGTAGACATTTCCTTTCTAAAAATGCAAACTTTTCAACTTACCTCTACTTTTTGTTCTTGATTTTCATGGTATATCTGGCTAAAAGCAGTCAGCAGTTCCCATGCCAAAGCCTCAGTGTTGGGCCTCCTTGAAATTTCCTTTGCCAGATCAATTATTTCACCACGGTTAATGTCAGTCTCATGCAAAGTCTAAATACACAGGCAAAATGAAGACAAGTCTTCTTCCAGAGTATAACACAGATGACCTCTAGTGCAATAGCTAGTGAGGTTTCTGTTCCCCACTGAAACCTCCTGAGTCTGGCCTTTACTGTCCACATTCCTATCTGTTCTTCTGAACTCTGACCAGTATTGCACATCAAGCACTGCTCATTACATTCTAGTGCTTCACTAGTCTGTATTGCTAAACTTTTTCCAAACTCTTTCCGCAAACAAGCTTCCAAAGGCTTCTGAAACACATCATCAGGTACATTCACAGCAATGGTCCACTGTTATTACCAGTTTTCTGTATTAGCCACTTTCCAGCTGCTGGGAAAAAATACCCAACACCAGCAACTTAAATAAGTTTATTTTGGATCACAGTTTCAATCTATGCATGAGTGGCTGGCTTCAAGGTAGAAAAGCACAGTAGAAGTACACAGCAGAG